TGCCTCTCAGATGATCCTCAACTCAAGAGGCTGGAGTTACTGTCTAAAGGAGGAAACACAGACCAATTGTGTCTGGAGGGGCCGTAGGAATGGTACTGTCTAGTTCTTCACCTATTTGGCAATTTGGCACAGGCCCAGCTCTGGATACCTGAAATTCAAATTCCAGCTCATACTTACCAGCCATGGAAACTCAGGCAAAGTTATGTAACATTTCTGTGCCTCAGTTTGCTCAACTATAAAGTGGGGATAATAAAAGCCTACTACATATCATACACCCATCTATTTAGTATACGATGGTACTGCTTTAAGAAGATGATGCGAATATTTACTAAACCATCATTGGAGCCAAATTCTACATTATTGATAGTAATACCTTATTTTTCTTTCCAGAGACTTTGACCTTGATTAATTAGATGGTTTATAAATCTACCCTAGGGAAAAGAAACACCATGGATTTATTACCTGGCTTTTGGAGATTAGAAAACTAACAAGTAGAGATTCACAACAAGAAGCCTGCAGACATTCAGGGTCAAGAACCACCAAGTCATAGCTGCTGCAGGCCACTACTAGTCAACAATACTCCATCTCCTAGTGGGGCCCCTACAGGAATATCTGAGCCCAAAATAGCAAAGTTAAGTCTCCTAACATCTGGGGCAAGTCGTAAATGACCTGCTAGTTTAGCACCATCACAAGAATAACTGAATTGGGTCAGATTCTGTGTTTCAGTTTCAGAGGTGCAGTCTGCCTTGGGGCCTTTGCACTGTCTGTTCCCTCTGCCTGGACCTCGATGTTCCCCACATGTCCTCATGGCCGACTCCCTCACTTCTGTCAAGGTTTTGGCTCACCTATCAGCTTCTCAGTGAGGCCTATCTTGACCAACCAATTAAAAATTCTAACACTTCCTCCTCCCAATCCATCTGAGCCTGCTCTAATCTTTCTCTTTTCCATACCACTAACCACCGTCCAACATACCATATAATTTACTTCTTATGCTGACTGTTTATTGTCTATCTCCCACCACTAGCACATAAATTCCCCAAAGGTTGGAATCCTTGTTCACCAAAAAATACCAGGTGCCTAGAACTGTGCCTGGTACAAAACAGGTGCTCAATATATATTATTACATAAATAAATCCAAAATGTAGAGGTACTTTCAGAAATGTATCAAATAATCAAATCTAGTAAGAATAACTAAACAGTTGTCTGAGACCAAAAGCCAAAATATTTCACAGCACGAGGATGCAGAGACAGAGCAGACATTTCACGAGTCTACGCCATGACCTTCAGTGCTAAATTTAGTGCTCTTGCTGTTTCTATGATTCCTAGTGACCAGTTTAACTTCACCTATCTAGGATGTGCATGTCAAGAGTGTTTCTACAAACTCAAGTATCTACTCACAGTAAGAAGCAAACAAATCCTGATCAGCTTTTCCCGTCTCCAGGAAACAGCCAGGCTATGAATGAACTGATAGCGAAGCTAATGGAGAAACACTTCAGAGTTGCAGAGCTGTGGGATTTCTAGGCAATTTAAGTTGGGATACTCAGGTTGCATACAGAGACAGGTGCTCCAGTACTAGACCAGTGACGAAATGCAAGGAAGAAAACAGGAACACAGGTGCAATACTCTTCCAAGAGGAAGGAAGGTAGCTACGACAGAGGATGGTGAAAATCACGCTTCCCTTGGCTCTATAGCCCTAAATCCTTGCTCCTTATGGGTACAGGAAAATGGTTAAAAAACAGGAGCTAAGTATTCATGTATAAGATAACAGCTACTCTCAGCTTAACGCACTTAATGAATCTGAACTAAACAATACAGTTATAATGAAAACTATGGGTCTTGTATACTAAAGGCCTTAGAAAAATCTGTCAAGCAAGAAACACACCATATTCCCATAAACCTTCATTTCATTACTGCTTAAGGTTTTGACTAGTGATTAAATGGTAATAACAGAAAGGTCTCCAAGATGGAAATGCCACCTAAGCATCTCTCTAATACTCATGATTGCTAAATAACAAGCTCCTTGAAAAAATTAAAGATAAGATTAACATATACCTCTTAGTAGTCTTATCATGCATCTTTTTAATGTGGCCATTGGATAACAAATCATTGTCAATCATTAAAAATAACCACCTGTCTCCAAAAATATTTATAGTCTGAACCACAAACAATAAATACCACTTAACAATACCTGTATAGAACTTTCACTAAATGCTTTGTGATATATTTTCACTCATGTCTCTTCATCAAAAGTGTATTTATATGACACTGCCTACTAATCAGGTTGTTTTTATTCTTCTTGAGGTCACTTCTTATTTCTTTCTGCATATGGGGCTGTCTTTGAAAGCAAGGGGCCTCTGTTCAGCGGAAGTACACAATAGTTGAAGTTAGTCTCTTCACCCCGGGAATTTCAAGCGTTCATTCTAACATTTACTTTCCATAAAGGTTGCTGGTTTCAAACTAATTTCAAAGTATAGTAATTGTTAGCCTTCCTACACAGTTTGCCTAAGTCATAGCTATTGTTACAAACTTAATTTTTCAATATTTTCACTAAAAGAAAAACACTAGCCCTTTGGGAGTGACCATTACTTAAAAGTTGAATTTTAGAAAATTTATAAAACCCTTAATTCTCTTAAAAAATGTTTGCACAACACTAAAGACAATTTCTGCAAACTTAAAAAACTCTTGTGATTCACCAATAGTTAGTTTTAAATCATCTGATTATAAACTAAATCCTCAAGAAGGATAACTGTCTTCAACATATTTTATAAATATAATTTATATTTTCTTTTAACCAGATAGTCCAAGTAGGTAGGCAATGTGGGAAAATTATAACTCACCTTACATTAATTATAGTTTATCCTGAAATAACTGTTAGTGAGAGTGAATGACATATGCAATGCCAGCCTTCCCTAGGTCAGGAAATATTATTTATATAATATATATTTATTTTATTTATTTATATTTATTATTTTCTACTTATTATTGAAAGGTAAGGAACTTGAACTAACAAAATTTCTATTGGAACTTGTCATTATTGGGGTTTTAATATTATTTTAAACCACCCATCATGAAAAATCTGATTTATCCTTTAAGCACCTTCAGTTATGACTATTCAATCATGATATGAATCAGCAAATCTGTTACTCCATTAAACTCCCGCTTTTAAGACTACCAAAACTTGTACAGATGTTCTGTCACACCTTTATCAGAGGAGATGGCATGTCACAGGGATGTTTTAAAACTTTGTTAAGTTTCAAAACCTGGACAATTACTCACCAGGATTATCTTTTGAAAGACATTTTGTAGACATTTTCAATGATTATTTCCCATTCCGGATGCCCCACCACATCCCATTCTAAACTAGCATTAAATGCTTATTAAGCACCCACTGTGTGCAAAGAGAAGGCATTATACCACGCAAAGGAGCATAAGGCTTGGCCTCATTTTATTCGCGCATAAATACACAGCAGTCGTGATTTATTCTCTCAACTTTGTAGAAACGTGAGTTGCATCCACATGGCTGAATCCATAGCAGTCATTTGGAAATGACTTTCTGGGGCAATTTACAGGTTCTCTGGATTAGACAGCCACGTTGGGGCATCATGCGGTCCCTTCACCTTCCAGCCGACACAGGACAACTCGTCGGCACCGGCCACACCTTGCGCAGGTGGCTGGATCGCCGGAGCCAGATGAACCCGACCCATCGCCCCTCGCAGGGGCTCCGGATAGGAGGGTGTAAACGTGTTCAATGACTTCTGTGAATTAAAGGACTTGTTGAAAGGCCCCGGGGTCCTCGGCAGGAAGAGA